GGCTATTGCAGGCAGGCTCCGATGCTCCCTCCTCCCCCATCACTGAACAGGAAATGTCTGTTCAGTTCGCTTGTGCTCTAATTTATAGCACTTTAAATAAAGCGCAATAGTTAGAGTGATTCTGCCAGGGGCTTTTTGAACATCTGTACTCAGCCCCAGCGTCAGTTTTTTCTTTTCTTTCTTCTGTTCTGAATTGTCCCTTTTACTTTCTGACCAGAAAAACTGATGGCTATAAATCTCTCAGCAGCCACTTCTAGCAAGATGCAGCATCCTTCCCATGAATAGAAAAGATAAATTGCAAAGAAATGTACATTTTAAACCTCAATACATACCTTCCTCTTCTTTGGGGCAGAGCTCACAGGGGTCACCCCATCCTTCTCCTGGCATCTTACTGCAGCAACACTTTGCCTTGGTGGTGTTAAATGCTTTTGGAACAGAACACTTCCCATTCTCAAAGTTAGTAAAACAGAAGCTCTGGCGGGTATCTAGGAATGGAGAAAAACAAGCACTGCATCAGACTTTCTTACCTTTCTTTAGGACACTCTTCTATCCCTATTGTATGGGGGCAAATGCTTCCTCACTCAAACAACAGGACACCACCCCAGCTTTCCACAACAGAAGCGATGAGGACCAAAACCTTTTTGTGCATCACTCATCCTCTGCAAGTCAGAAGGCCCAGCATTATCACAACAAAAATGCCTTCACTCCATACTCCTGTAGTTACAATGACACTGACTAGCCCTAAAACCTGTGGACTAGGGAACAAGGGACTGAGCTCAAGACACATGTGAGATTCTATTATAAGAAAATAATTTGGATATTTCTTCCATAAACATTAACCAGAGTTCTCAGCACATTCTGAGTTCAAATAAAAGAGAAATAGAAGGTAAAAGACAATCCTTGTGATCTTTTGAAGCAAGTTCTCCTCCATGCCCATCATTTGCTGGATGCAGCAAAGTGAGGGCACTGTCAGGAAGCCAGCTGTAACTCTCTAATCCAAGGGTGGGCAAAGTCTGTCCCACAGGCCAGACTGGGTCTGTGGCAGACTTGATTTCCCAGCAGCCCTTCCCAGTGTTACTGTAGTTGGTTTCCATGGAGATACCAGCAGCGGTGGAACTATGACAGCATGAGCCCAGGGTTCCATGGAGACTAGCTCCAGCAGTGCTGGCAGGGTGTGTAGCTGAATGGGAAGCTGCTTTGGGCCTGGGATCTTGCAGTGTAACAGCGTGATCCAGAGCTGGGGCAGAGCTGCTATTTGCTGCCCACACACCCTGGGCACACCCTGGTGTGCAGGCAGTGGACTGGGGCTCTGCCCCAGCTCCAGACTGCACTGTCACCACTGCAAGATCCCAGCCCCGGCAGTGGAGCAGCTCTCTGCCCAGCCATGTGCCTTGCCAGCACGGCCGGGGCCAGTCTCCATGGAAACCCTGGCCCCGCACCATCATGGTGCTGCTGCTGCTGGGGTCTCCACAGCAACGCAGGCAGAGGCTTCTGGGAAATGGAATCCGGCTGCCCGCCAGATCCACCATGTTGCCCACCCCTGCTCTAATCCCATACTTTATCCTCAAAACTGCTCTAGCCCAATGCAAATGGCATATGACCATGGTATCCTTGAGATGGGACCTGACAGGACAGGTGTATGAACCAGCCTCTGCTCCCACACAGAAGTGCAAATAAAGAGGGTACACTGGGTTAAGAAATCCATCCATTTTTTAATGAAAAGATATACAAGTCAGTGTGACTGTAAACAATACTGTTAAGTTGTATTGGAGGATAATGGAAAAGATTTATGGACTTTTGGAAAGCATGGTACACCATAGACAAACTTTCATTTTGTTGGGATGACCTGATCATTTTATTTTTGAACATAATAAAATTCAAGTAAGAGCCTGAGATTGCAACAATGCTGACATATTGTAATTCAACTCTTCTTTAATCCAAAAACTTACCAAAGCACCTCCTTCCATTGTCAGACAGCACAAAGCCTGTGGGACAAATGCACTGGAATCCTCCTGGAGTATTGGTACAGGAGCCAAAGAGACAGATGTTGGGGTCCTCATTGCATTCATTAATATCTGCAAAATAGTAGAGAAAAAAAATCATTATCCAACATGAAACAAATTCTGTTTATTCCTAAGATATGTTTTTATACACAACTTTCTGCTGGAGGAGAAGGAGGAAGAAGGAAAAGAAGGAGAAAGGACAAGAAAAAATTAAAAAAGAAAAAGAAAGAAGAAAAAGAAGAAAGAAGACAGATGAATATTATGTAACTTCTCATTTTTTAAAATGGTGAATTACTTTCTGTCAGGTTTGTACTATCAACATGTTTCCGAAGTAAAACATGAGCAGATATATTTATCACAGGAAAAAAAATTCTGAAAAAATGAAACATCCTAAGAAGAATAAAAAATCTGGACTTGCTGGCATTTCACTATAGTTAAAGGTCTATTTTTTCAAGTTCTGAGTGATTCTGGACTTGAAATTGTGAACACTAAATCTTCTGTACTGAACTCAGAGGGAATGGAGGTCTCATGTCACTTGCATGCATTAGTACTTGCATATCAATTTGGTATGTTGATGTTTCGGCTCGCTTAGCTGCTTATTTAAAAAGATGCAGCTCTGACTGCTTTAAACATGTGGAATATGTGTCTGTGTTTAAGTCAATTAAAGAAAAATGAAAGTATTTTAACATTAAAGATTTCGATGAAACATGATAGTTTTTGATCTAAATACACAATTGCTTTTTTTTAAAGCATCACTTCCTTAAAAATCCCTGCAGTCCAAAGAATACTAGACTGTCTCTGTGTGTGCTTATGACAATATGTAAGTTTATCCTATCACCTCTACAAAGCACCAACAGTTAATATAGCAAGTTAGTCTTAGTGTTACAAAGCACACTGGTTAAATTCAAAACCAAAGGGAAAACAAACACAAGAAAGTAAATGCATATTGTGGAGAAAAAAGCATGAGGTTGTAGGAAACAGAGAAGGGAATTAAAGTCCCAAGTTCCATAAAAGGTAAAAAATAAATAAATAAATAAAAAAAATCTGAAGAAGTCATCACAACTAAGGGTACATACAGACATTTGGGAAGATTAGGGGGTGGTTAGATGGAGTTAAAAATGGCCACCCAATCTAAGGTAAAGTGGGATGAGGGGGTTAGTGAGAGGGAGGCTGGGGAGGGGGGTGCCAAGCAGGCTCTGGGCCATGGATCAGTGGGGTTCATGAGGGGGGATCAGGGAGCTAGTGGAGTCTGTGGGGTGGAGAGGGAAGGAGAGGGGATCAGGGGGACATGCAGGGTCTACATCTGGCTTCCAACGTGTTAAACTACAGCAGCTCCCATTCTGGGTGCCTGTCCCCAGGTGGTTGCTCTCCAGCTGCTGTCCCTGTGGTCTTTGGATTTCTCTACCCTCTTCCTGCTTCCATGGCCTAACCCCACCCCTGCAGCTAGGGTGGAGTGGCCTGGAGCTGAAGGAGCATGCAGCTAGGGTACTTGGGAGAACCCATGGACCCTGGATGGTGAGGTGGTACTGGTGGGGTAAGGCATGGCCTTACATTCAAAGGTTAGTTAGTTTCTTAAACGTATGAGTCCTAT